ACCTTTGTGCTGGTGGACCCATAGCTATTTACAGATTAATTCCCGAGAATATACATTTTGGACTGCTTCTAAATAATGCTAAGTCTGTGGTAAAAATCAGCAAGTCTTGACATTTCACTAGATTATATTTTAGCTTGAAATAGAAAGAAAGGCAAATCCTCTTTTCATCAGAAACTTTAGTGAAAATGATTGACACTATTGTTCATGATTTGGAAGCTTCTCATAAAGTATTACCCAGGCCCAGTCCTATTTTACTTGTGAGTGACAAGGTTTTAGCTCACACAGTTCAAAACCTTAAATTATCTGAACCTGGTACTATGCTCTGTGGTAAAATGAAGCAGAGCTCTCTTTTTGCTTATGCTTTCTTGGGAGAATAGCAAGCATGTGGGAAGATTTCTGCCCCATGTGATAATGTGAGTGAGCATCTATAGAAATGGAAGCACTGTAACCATCCACATGGGTGACAAGCAGGGCTAATGAGCAAATCCCCAGCAGAACTATCAGCCTGGCTACTCTGGTTTTGGGACTCAGTCTAGTAGGCGTCCACAGCACTCTGCCATCACAACATGCTTCCATGCCACATTAAACCAAAAGAGGATCAAAATAGGTGCAGGCTCTGCAGTTATGCCTTGCTCCTTTACCATTTTTTTTTTCTTTCTCTGCCTTCAACACAAAGACAGAGAGTCAGAGTTTTAGACAGTTCTTGAGAGAATGCTAACAGGCTAACAGAGTCATAATATAGAATAAAACCTCCTCCTAATAATATATGTCAGTTCTACAGGGAAAAAAACATATTCCCTGTTCCACCTTAAGAGGAGGTCTTCAAAGTAATTTCAGAAATACAAATTAACCAAACCTCTCAGGATTTTTGGCATACGCATTTTTCTTCCATAAAAGAAGTCTAAAAATCAAGTTTCTAGCAGCATGCATGAGAAAAAAAGCAAAGCAAGGAAGAAAGTACACAATTCATATTTACACTAATGCCACTTACCTGCCCTCTAGCAATGAAAGAGGCCAGTAAGGTGAAAGCAGTTTAATTTTATTATGTTTATGAGGCCTCTTTACAATAGTAGAAAGGTGTACGTAAGGACAGGATGAATAAGAAGATTTTTTTACTAATTAATCTACCATCTGGGGAAAAACTCCTGCCTTGCTAAAAGCCTTCTAAATTAATAACAAGATACAGGGGAATTCAGAATCCTTCTCCAAATTTATCGTAAACCTAAAATTGTACTTAAACATGATTCATCAGATTTTAAGTTGACTGATGTGGCTTATCATTTGAAGTGAACGGTATCTGATTCATTCAGAGGAGAATATGGCAGAAAGGCATAGCAGAAAGCACCACTTTCACTCCCTCCTTATAGTCTTGAGGCACACAAGCCGTTACATTGTAGAACTTGTACACTGCAATAGGCTGCTTAGGACACGCAGAGTTGAAAGAAAATTAAAATTATACTGATTTAATATGTAAATGAAAGTGTACACAGTTAAATATGCACAACTTTGTCATTCTGGCACAACATTTGCAAACACTGTCCAAAGAAACCCCAGCCCCAACACACAGGCTGTTTGAATGTTTAGGTTTGCTTAGTCATTTTCAGATGAGGTCAGCCATACTGATGACATAACTCGGAGCTCTGAGGTTCTTGGCAGTGTTAAACTGGGAGAGGAAACACTTTGTTCTCCAATTTTCATAGAACTGACATCCAGAAACCATCATAAGACAAAAGCTTCTTTCAGTTCCTCTCCTGCTAAAATCATCTGGGTTTAAAACACACACCTCACATTTTCTTCAAATGCCATCAAGCAGAAAAAATTGTAATTTAAAAATACTTCCAGTGTACTAATGTATCACAGAACACTGTTGACAATTGAATTAAGGAAACAAGCATTTGTGGGGCTAGTGGGTAATTTGTGTATCAGCGATGGTATGAATAGATAGCACTTTTCTTCTCCAGCCATGCTTGGAAACATTAATTGATGAATCCTGGCAGTATTGGGCTGCAGGAAGCTAAGTATTATTTCCTTTATTTAATAAAAATGGGAAGTGGATGGCTTCAGTGAAATACTGTCGCCAGTTGATTTTCCTCTTCTACCAGCAAAGAAAACCTTCCCAGGATTACCTCTGATGTCCATGTTACACAGCTGGAGTAACTAATATATTACAGCACTGTACGGTGTAGTGTAGTGTGGGGCAGTATTGCAGCTACACCTCCTATTAATCTGCAGAAGCTAGGTCTAGGCTGGGAAATGTCTTCACCAGGACACTTAATCCTCAAAATGAAAAGGCAAAAACCTTTCAAGGAATCTTTAAGTAGTTAAAATATAAATAATATAAACTGTGTTCATTTTGCAAGTTAGAAATCATTTCCCAAGAACACAGTTAAACAGAAGGAAAAGTGGCTGAGCTTCATTCACCTAGATTCCAGAACTTACTGAGATTTCAGACAATATTATTAAGGTAAAACCAACTGTAATTTTCTCAAAGAGGCTAATAGTAATTATTTGACTAATAATTTGAAGTTAACGCTCATTAAGACCATTTCTTATAGTGTTGTGAACATTCAGGAACTGGGCTTCACATTGTTCCCAGCCAGCAGAGGTAATAGAATTCCAGCTCTGGGTAGGGGGTAGAGAAACACAGCAAAGTCAGGTCTGGTACCTGTGAGGAAGACTTTGACAAAGGTTTGATTAATCATGCAAAACTTAGGTCTTCTAATTCTTTTCATATTCCAGCTGAGCTTTCAATTGCCTCTTCAGTATACCTGCTTGAAAGGTTTGGGGAGGAGTTTAACATATTTGGAATAATTTTTGAAAAACTAATTTGTCAGTACAAATCAGGCTCGTTAACTTTTGTTGTCCTTCCACATTAGTGCATGGTTTGAAAGTAGTACTCTCATTTTCTCCTCTCATGCAGTGCTCAGAATGCCACTAAAACCATTACTCAGCCCAAGGAAAGAGCAACCAGGGGTTCCACCGGAGACACCGAGCACTCAGGGATCAGTGGTTTACAGTCCCAAGGTTTAATGGTCACCTATTAAAAGAGGAAATGAGTGAGGTGATAAATGGAGGCTGGCTTGGACTACAGCACTGGGTATTATTCCTATTAACTCATTAATTGTTGCACTTAGGAGATTTTGAAAAAGAAGGGTTATTTATCTGTAACAGGTCTTGTTCAGGTGGTTATTTATACATACACATACACAAACACATATACATATACATACATTATGGATTTTGGGGGTTGTTTGCTTTTAATTTCAGCAACATTCCCTCACCTACTCTTCACACTGGTTTATAACCTGTGCCTCAGACTCTTGTTTTCTCTCAGTCTCAAAATTGCCTCACAAAGGAGGGTGGGCTGCGTATGTAAGTTTAGGCAAAACTAATGCACATATAAGCAGCTCATCTTGAAGAACACTTTCAGGTTAACTTACTTTCATCTCTGAGTGCTTGCCCACATGTAACTTCACTGTGAACAAAACCCATCACAGAATACTTTATTAAGGAAAAGGTCCCAATGTGACTAGATGAAACAAAGCAAAAGAACTGACTGTCCCAAAGGTGGCATCATGTTGAGAGGCGTCAATGGTAAAGGAAATAGTGAAATTATTCTTGGGGTTAGAAAATTCATTCTTTGGATCTGTCAGCTGAAGACACAGGCAGATGAGGGTCCCAAATCTGCCCAATATAAAGAGAGCAAGCATGACTCTGTTCAATATGTGCAAAAAAGAATCAGCCCTGATAGCTTGTGGAGAAAGAAAACCCAGGCAAATTAGTTTCTTGGCTAAGAAGAAATTGAGGCACCCATAAGCAAAAAAAAAAAAAAAAATTAAAGGCAATCCTGAGGGTGTAACTTGTCTTGAACAAACACAGCACACAGAGGACCTGTAATAGTGGTTTGTCTCTCCACCCTTCAATGGTCAATATGATAACTTCCAAAAAGGACAAGAGGACTAGGTCCAAGCTTTTCCATAAACACATGCTTGTAGCTTCAAGTACATAGTTCATGGATCATGAAAAGAAAAAGAGAGGCAGTATCATGCCTGATTCCAAGCAAGAGTCATCTTTTAAAACCCCAAAGGAAAGTCAGTGTCATAGAAAGAAAAAGAAGAAAAAATTAGGACATGTTTCCAAGCAAATGCAAAACAGAATTCAAGAACAAGACATACTCACTATTAGATAGTCAACACAGTTGATACAACAACTGAATAAAGTTTGTCTGCAATCTTAGCCTCACAAGCAAGAGGCACAGGGATATTGGGCATATTTTACACCTCTGTAGCTGTGTGCCTGGCACAAAAATGGGTGGGACTTACATTCATGTCCTATGGGCCCCCTGCAGTAAAAAAAGTACAGTGACAGTGTGAATGCATATGTACACATTGTGAATGTATATATTCACAAAGATTCAGAAAATGAAAAGACACCCGTGAGACATAAGGCAAAAACCCTTTCCTCTTACACAAAGCTCCACCATTGTTATTTGTGCTGTGATCATGTCTGAGAGGTGTAAACAAAGCCTTTGGCTACAGTGTTGGATTTTGTATGAATGCAGAATTAGAAGTTGTTTACTTCATTGGTAACAACAGTTCCAATGCAATAGTCAAATTTCCATTATTTCAGCGTGCAAGTGGTAACAGCCCTGTGAGCAACCCCCAGGGGGATTTGCCAATAGAAGCACACTATTCAGACGATGAACTGCTGAAGACAATGGGTGGGAGTAGGGTCTTCCTCCAGTATCTGCCCTATCCACTAAGATGGGCCCCAAAGGGAAATTTGTTGAGTATTGAGGGGGTAGGCTGTGATAGGCCACTGGCTCCATAGTCCACAGCTGTAATACAAGATGACAGACAATTTGCAGATGAGCACAGACAGGGCCTGATGCTGGTGTGTGACAGACGTTTCTCTGTGAAGCACAGACCAGAACTCCAAGGCTATGAGCGACATCCCTGGGCACCTTCTCACACGTCCTTCTCCTCCTTTCTCTCCTTCAGGGAACAACAGAGTGTCAGCGACAGTAGGTAACAACTCTGTGCTCTCCTGCCCCCCCCAATCCAATGCAACTATGGTAACATGGAAAATAAACCCAAAGGTTGGAGGCCCTTGCGCCTTGGGATACAGGGCTGATCAGAACAAGACGGACAGAACAAACTGCAGCGACAGCATGAACTGGAAATTCAGACCAGATCGGGACCCTGCCCTTGAGATACGGCGAGTGGGAATAGCCCATGAGGGAAATTACACCTGCGAAGTGGTAGCGACAGAAGGGAATTTCCACAAGACGTACGACCTGACCGTGCTGGGTAAGGGACTCCCTCCTCATTTTACAGCTCTCCAAAGGCTGGTGTCTGGGCCTGGACATACAAAGCCTCCTCTCCCCATGCACCGGGGGATATACTAATCCAATGTACTAACAGAGGATTCTGTATGTGCTTCTGGCTATCCTGTAGAATCAAATCATTAATACAGTAACTTAAGAGAACTAAAGCCTGTGAGAGCAGCCCTTCCAGGGGCTGAGATATTCTACCAAACATGGGGTGTTCTTATCCAGACGGTAAGAACAGACCCATTTCCTCTTATGCTTGGCATTCAAATATGTTTTAAACCACCTGTACAATGGCCATGTAGTACAAAAGTCTAGTTCAGCCCTGTATTTGGGATAATTCCCTACCACAGTGTGCAGGGATACCTCCTCTGTCGGTACGTGGCTGTGGTAACTCACCTGAATGGGGGAGAGCTGTCCAAATGGAAAAGAGAGGCACAATCTTTGTCTCTTGAGACTTTGGCCCATGTCGCTGTAATGGGAGAGCACCTCCAACCTTATTCTCCTCTTTTCACTGTGTTCATGTTGGGCAGAGAGCAAGAACATCCTATCCCAACTGCGGCAAACTAACTCCATGCATCTCCCCTTCCTGACGCTTTGCAGTGCCCCCCAGGCTGACCCTGTACTGTGATGACCGCGGGAACCCTGTGTGCGAGGCAGCGGCAGGGAAGCCGGCTGCTCAGATCTCTTGGGTCCGAGAGAGCAACTCCACTCCCAAGGAAGAAGGCCATGACAACGGGACAGTGACTGTTCTCAGCAAGTTCACAGCATACAGCACCAATGTGACTAATACAACCTGCATTGCGTCCCACCCAGCTGGGAACCAGAGCAAGTCCATAGCCTGTTATCCCTCAAGTAAGCTTGCCTTTGTGCCGTCGGCATTCAAAATCCTGGTTAGCTGCCTCTGCGCACTCTTGTTCCTTCTAGGAAGGAAAATCTACCAAAGCTATAGAAAACTTCAGTGAAGTCCTATCTAGACAAGAGTACCATCCCCAACTGCCTTCGCCCAGAAACATCACCAGCTTGTATGTGTTCTAGACACTATTTCCTAATGGTTTCTTCCCTAAGAGGGATATACATAAGTGTAGTAGTATTCTTTTGGTGGTGGAAATGTTGTTGGAAACAGAGACAAAGCAGTCATGATCTTAGTGTTAAAATAATCACTTGGAAACAGAACATCAGCAAAATTTTTTTACATGCAAATGTAAAGTCTCTTGCTCAAATCATGATAAGAGAGAGAAAGAGATCCAACTCTTGTGTGGCCAGCAGAAACAAATAAATCACATTGTTCCAAGTTGTGAGTGTGGGACACTCACATGTATCATAATTGGTTTCTGGTTTTTGCTTTTTTTGTTGCTTTTGAGAGCTACACTGACATATGCCAACACCTTGACACGAGCTCAGCTATGGCTTAGTGAATTAATACCATAAGTGTCCACTGTGGGATTCGTGGGATCTGCTTTAGTCTCTGACACAGACTCCATTTGTGTTTCTCAGACAAGTTTTGTTACTGAGTTTCCCTTCTGCCAAAGGGGATTATATTTATTTCACAAGCATGCTGAAAATGTGTGTATGAGCTAAAGCAGCTTTAATCTTATACTGAAATAATAAAGAAACTGAGCAGTAAGAAGATATAACTAAGACTAACTTTTTGTGTTTAGAGAACGACGGCTTTATCCTGCATGTCTCGATCATTCTTAGTTTCCTGTGCATTTTTACCTTCATGGCAGTTACGTACTATTTTAAGCTCCACAGTGACAGGTATGTATGATAGGGTGCTAAGGAAAGATTGTCTAATGCTAGAATAAATCTTAAGTACTGTTTGTGTCCTGAAATCCTATGGTTCTGTCAGTCTGTGCTGCTATGAGTAACTGAATTAACTATATCAGATATTTCTATACTGCAGACACTGTGCATTGCACACATCTTCACTGAATAATGCACCTGGGTAAAATATAAACGGGCAGAAGTTGGCAGAGGATCCTCATTGCATTGGCAGCTACACTAAAGGGGAGCTCTTCATTCTAATAGGAAACTGGGAGAATAAATCTGTTCCTCAGCTACTGTGATAGTCTGTCAGTGTCTCTCCTGTTTAGATCAGGAGTTGGTTCTGATGCCTAATGAGTTCTATCAAGTACCAGAGGACTGACCAGTGCTGTCCTGCCATATCAACAGAGGGGACAGCAGATTGTATCTGTATTTATGAAAAAGTTCCCTGGGTGGAGCTGGAGTTTAGCCCCTTTAGGATTCGCTGTGCAGAAAAAAGCAGTTCCAAGGCAAAACTACAGAAATCATTTGTGCAGAGAAAGGCTGAATTAGCACCTGTACTGAAGGCCTCAGCTATGTTCCCTCCCTTCCTTATTCCAAAACTGCTTTTCTCCCAAACCTTCTCCCTTAGAGGTGAAGAATTAGTTCAATACAATTTCATTAACTGCAAATTGTACATCCTTCCAGAGGACTTTGATTTTAATATTCCACTTCCACATTGTGCTTAAGCTCCCACAAACATAAGCAAAGAGCTCTTAAGAAGGTCAGGGTGCCATAATTTCAGGATCAAAAGTCAAGGAGAGAGAGACATGAGATGGCTTTTTGGCTTTATTCTTGATGACAAGAAAAAGAAATGTTTCATAAGTTTGTGATCAAAGAAACCAGGCTGTGATCCAGCCAAACCTAGCACTGAGGAAGGAATTTGCTTTAATACTTGTTTTCTTTTTAACAGACTGTGCCACAAAACCAAAACTTCTGAGACTGCTCCTACACATTCCCCACAGGTAAGGAGAATGATGCAAATTAGACCATCACCAAATCAGGGATCTTCTGGTAGTCCTGAAAAGATGGTTAGTAAAGGGAAACCATTAGATTTTTACTCTCTTTTTTTCAGCAGGTGCTACTGAGTCTTATATGTTTGCTCTTAGCTGTATCTCAGGAAAAAGCAAAGTCTATCATCACCATAATTTTGACCTGGAGCAAACATTAGAGGCATGGGCCAACAGTGAAGGCTCAGCAACTGCCATCACTTTATTTTAGCAAGGACTGAGTCCCACCACATTTCCCTGGTCATATCAGATACACTGACCACAACTTCTGTACAAACAGTACTCAGGAAGGGAGGCAATGTCATGGGTTGGGGAATATTAAGAAAGCTATTAGTAAACAAAAGGATTAAACAACAAGATTACAGACGTAGGGAAAAAAAAGAATATCCCTTTTGGTGCCCAGAATGATAATGTGCAAGTTTTGAAGGCCACTCTTTATCTTGTGTGGTCAACCTACAACCAAAGAACCAACCATACTCAAAACAAAACGTTTTATAAAACAATGGAAGGAGTGCCAAGCTGCAAGCTGGGAGGTATTCTTGAATTCCTTATGCTGTTACAAGCTTCCTGTGTAGCTGATGAATTCACTCATCAGTTCTGTGTCTCTGGCCTCTGCTATCAAATATAAACAACCACACTTCTATGCAGGCAAGATGTGTTACATCTATATTATGAAAATCTGTGCACCTGCAGTAGACACTAGGCTCAAATTCTGTCATCAACTTAAAAAGGTGCTTCAAAAGGTGCTTCAGTTTTGATTTCTGAAAAGCCTCAGTCAATTCTAGTTATTATTATTGCTCCTGTTCTGCTGCCCTACCTCCCAGATGTTGCTGACAGACACAGCTGAATGAATGTAAAATAATGGATTAAATACCAGTGTTTTTGCTGTCACATCATGCAATTTTCTTTAGCATGTATGTAGACTGATATTGTAGACTGATGGAGGAATCAATCACGGTCAAGACTCCAGCATGTTAATTGCTCTTTCTAGAGAATTAGACCCTAAACCAGTTTTTTGGGGGGCCAAAGTGAGGTAGAAGGGGAGGAAAAGGAGGCAGGTGAACCAATACATCAGCTTTACACTCCAAATCTTTGACAGAAACAGCAATACATGTTCTTTGGTAGAAAAGGTAGAAAAGGATAGAGGTTTTTATATTGAGTCCAAGAAGAATAAATATGGGAGCACTATTTCCCAGTTACTTTCTTCAGTCCACATGAAAGGCTTGCAGAGTCTTGCCAAACTAAACTACCCTTTGCATTTACAGTTTTTGGTTTTGTTTTGCTAGGATGACACAATGGAAGTGGAACCTTATACTACTTATGTGCAGAAGGAAAATGTAATTTACAACTCAGTGTCTGACCTGACAGTGGGGCAGAATCTTCCACAAGGACTGTCACCAGCAACATGAGTGATTCAACAACACTGGAAAGAGAGACACCTTATAAAAGACTGGTTATAGAAAGAAACTTCTCACAGGATTTCTTCAGATTTTGGGGCAACCTGGCTCACTAGGTCTGTTCAAACATCTGCGATTGCTCATAAGTCCAGATAGTTCTTTTTCCCCCTGTTTTGCCTTCTTCCTTGGCAAAGGAAACAGGTTTCCTGTAATTCCTTGGGAAAATGTGACTGACCCCATGCCATAGCATTTCCTGGAAAAGCTGTTGTGATCAGTCTTCCCTTTGCTGTTCTTGCCTTGGAAATCCTAGTTCTGCCAGTCACTTCTAGGCATTACTTGGATGCACTTGACACTATGTTGCACGCATTTGGGAGACCAGAGGAGTGTTATGTCCCAACTAAAATGAAACACTCTTCAATCAACAGCCACTTTTTTCTAATTCACAGAATACTAACATAGTGGCCTGAGTACTGATCATCACAGAATAGCTCAAATGGCAGAATATATTGGTAGGGAAGACCTTTAGTTCCCCAGTTCTGAAACTGGAAACAAGTGATGAGTTTAGAACGTCATCCACTGAGAATTCGCTAGCATCATGAATTTACTTGTTAAGTTCATATTCTTTTCCACTAAATGTGTTCATTCTGTATTTCAGATTATTGTTATGATTACTTTTCCATAAGATTCTCTGAAGATATTGTATTCATCTCTTTCTTAAGAGTATTGGCATTAAGACACTGTAAAAGAATTGTTACTCAAATCTTGTAAGCTACTTGTAACAGAAACAAAGATCAAATAATTCACAAAGTGAAGTTCAAATATATCTTCTATAAATGTGCAATAATATATAAAAAGGATAAAATGCTTGCTAATTCTAGTCATATTTATTTTAACTACCACAACTGAAGACTTTTTTCATTGGATGTTTTATTGATTTTTTTCTACATATACTTGCAAGTTCACTTTTTTGTATGTAAATTAGCTTATAAAATTTAATTTGTCTCATGTTGAGGTGACTTCTTCTCACCTTCCCAAAATGGCCTTTGGGAATAAGTCAAATAAATTGTCCTTTATATACTAGCAGTCCTCAAACGTTTTGGATTAAACCTTTTTACTGGTTTTACAGTACAAGTAAAGAAATCCATTTGTAAGCCTCTGTTTACTACCTCTTATTTCAGTATTTTAAAAGACTGACGGGGTACATGGTCTGATGGTAGGATCAGAAGAACTAGATTTTTCCTTTAGACCATAGAAATGTCTTTGCCACACATCGTTAGATCTTTCTTTTGAGATAAGCCTCCTGAGGGCTACGACCCAGTGCTTGGAAAACAGACTTCTAAACTGATTGCAGTTCCTAAAGGTATTATTCATGTAAACTGATACAATTGATTATTTATTCTCACTCTGCCGGCTATGAAAACAGCCGCTTTTGTCCAGACACTCTCTGCATGCAAGTAATGCTTTTCTCTGTTTCTGTATCTCATTTTGGAATGGAAGGGATCAAAGCTGAATATCAATCAGCTACAAACAGAAAGTTTTAAAGGAACCTCAGTTTCCAGTGACTTACCAATGAAGAGACAGCCAACTCAGTCATAATCCTCTGAAATTCCCCATTTAAAATAGTGTAATACTGTCCAATGATCTTTCTTCCCACCCAAAACCAAATTGCCATCACTTCTTAGACTTTTATCTGTGGGCTGGAAAGTCATTCATGTTGTTCAGTGTCCATAAGGTGGCCTTCATCCTATGAGACAGCAGCTCTTGAAGGTAGATTCTTGCCAGTTTATATGTAATATCTATACAAAAGTATAATACCTGCTAACCTGCTGTCTAGTTGTAGGGTTTTATGATCCTTTACAGGCCTATTACACTGGACTAAATCATGTATGTTCCAGACCTGGATGTTGCTAAGTTGCTAACTGGTTATTTCCTTTGTCCTCTGCTTTGTTCCACATTCAGGCCTGCTATGGGCACTTCGAGTCAAAAGTCATGTAGGCTGTTGATGATGGCGTGTATATCTTCTGACCTGAAGCCCAAAGCAGTGAAGTCGCTAGAAGGCCAAAGCAGCCAGGACAGCAACTAATCCTGCCCTTTCATGTAGGCAGGAAGACCACTGTTTTTGTGCCTAGCTGATTAGCATAGCCAAGGATGTAGCCAGATCCTCTGCAGTAACTTGGCAGAAAACAGGATTTTAGTTTGTGACTGTGATAAACAATATGTTGAGAGTCTTATGTATGCACACATATACCAGTATGCTCTTTGTTCCTAGTAGCACAGAAGGTCTAGAGCAGAAAGTCCTTTCCTGCACTCCTCTTTCTCCATCAAGGTACTTGCTGCTTCTCTTTGCAGTGTGCTGCTATTGTGCTGCAGTCATCCTCCATGCAAAAATGCTGTGTTGACTGTCTCTTAGCAGCCCGGCAAGTGTGCCCTCTAAACTTCCCAGCATGTTGCAGAGTCACAGGAAGAAAGTCAGCAGCTTTTCAGCTCCTCCCATAAAGAAATGTTTTGGCTTTAACCTCATTTACCAATGCTATCTCTTGCTGCAACATTTAATTTTGCTTCATTTGCATCTCCCACTTTTACTGCTGTATTTTATCTTCACACACAGGTTCCAGTCTCTTGACATTTTACAACTGCCATTCCTCCTCTAATAGTGGTTATTCTGACTATAGAAATTCCTGAGCACTGACCTCACATGCACAGCAAGTTAGCAGATTCTGTGCTGTTGTGCATCCACAGAGCAGCTGCTCACTGAAGTGCAGCAGGCCTCCTTCACACTAAGGCCCTACTCTTTAAGATGGCACTGGCAGTACTGAAAAATGGATGACCTACAAATCCTGAGACTGAACATAGCTTCTGTATGTACATCAATTCTTGTGCCTCTCTAACCAGAAATTATTTCATGGTAACAAAGTCAATCCCTTCATCACCCATTACAGCAACATGTAAGATCTCGTTAAATTGCAATTTTTAGCAGATGGGTCATTAGAGCATCACTTAGCTGCTTCAAACAGCTTTCCTAACAACAGAATCCATTAAAAGTGGTGTTTCAGATATTACCCTGTCTCTGCATCCCAACAGGTTTCAGGACTGACTTACAACTATATTGTCCTGCCAGTATCACCTACTCATATTTATGGTTTACTGCTTACAGTCTAGTTTGTAATCCCACTGTCCATCGTAGACCTTCTGCTTCCATGTGAGACTGCTCTGTGGTTCTGCCCAGTTTACTTCTAGTTATGAATTAAAATGACTTCAGTACCTTCTATTTTCATCCTATTGGCAATAGAAATTTAATTTTATATTAGAGCTGTATGACTTTCACATGAACATTGACATAGCCACCTGTCTTTGTATGTAGCAGGGACTTCCTCATACAACTCTAGAGAAGAAGTGTATTTCCTTATACAAATCTAGAGAATGAGTGTATTGACAAGGGAATGCTAAAGAAATGTTTTTCAAAAAACATTTATTAAAAGAAATAAAAACAATTCTAAAATCTTTATAAGCAGAGTAAAAACTGGTTGATATTTAACTGGTAGGG